CTCAAAAACACAAAACCCTTCACTTCAGTAGAATAGCAAGATAAAACACCTGTCAAAGGATGTTGTCAACTAAAGCTTAAGGGGGACCTCTAACTTGGTTACATAAATGAGGGGACTGAAGTACCAGTTGACCTAGATTTCAACGAATCTGTTTAACTTTTCTTGGCTTTGGTTATGTACATATGCCACTTGCACATTTCTCACTCAGACACAAGAGCTCTTCCTCATAAAGGAAAGGTCGAAGGTAGGATTTGATACTGGGCAAAGGGCACTAGAGTGGAAAAATGAGAGTGATAACTGAAACGAGTGCACTTGATTTTGGGACATGTGAGCAAAAACACTTATCATTTCTATTGTTCCAGTTCTAACAGAAAAATGGTCATATTGTATTTGGGTTTTGCATCCTTAAACACTTGAGTCCATTAGTTTGAGTGATGTTGATTCACTGAATCCACGTGGGGCAGCTGTTTGGCAGGTCGGCAGTGCTTCCCTGGGTCTTCAAGGTGGGTCAATCCTGCCGAAGCATGACCGCCTGGGCAGAAAGATAAGCTTCCCTGGGAACCTCCCTCCTCGACTTCTGTGACCCTCTGTCCAATCCACCCTTCAAGGGTTACCCCTGCCTGGAGGGGAAAGAAACCAGGAGATTCCAGGCAAGATGTATGTCAGAGGCAGGAAGGAGGGGATGGGTGGCATACTTCCTTCTGGAGGAGGCAAACTGTCCCTGGAGGTGCAGATGCCAAAGCCCAGGGCAGCCAGTGAGAATGTGGACGTGCTGCTGTGAGCACAGGACAGTCGCTGCTCTAGCTGAAGTGAGCGAGACCCTTTTCTCACCCATACTCGGACGCTGACTCATTCTGGGGGGCCGAGAGAATACTCTTGTGTCTGGTATACAACACCTCTCGACAACACTAAGGAGAGGTGTGATATACCAGACACAGAGTAACGTTCGTTTTTCCAAAAAGGCTACTCTGTGAATTTTTAAATGGAACAATGCAAGAATTTACACTTTGCTTATTTAAAAAAAAGTGTTGAGGTAGCAGGCTCTGCTAGTCACCGTGCCACCTTCTCTGTGGCTTATTGCGATGGCTTTTCTTGGCGACTTCCTAGACCAAATCCTTTTTAAGATGCTGGCCTCCCCTAAGCTATAAGAAAAGTCTATTTTGACACGTGATGAGGGGCCACTTCATTTGACCAAATGTAAAGATGCTAGGTTTCTTAACTCTAAAAAGTGACAAAATTAAGTTCCAGAAGTGAATTGGGATAGGAAATATTTCACATGGTTGACTTATAAAAAAATCTTTTTGAGGTGAGCTGCCAAAAGGGATGTTCCTGCTACTGAATAAAGACACGTTATACGTCAGCATCAGACGTGTTTCTTGCATTTTGAGAAGACCTGGATCCATTGCTTAGCGGCCTGAGACCATGCTAAGTGTCACCATCTGAGTTCAATATTTGGGCAACGGTTAAAAAAGCTTTCGTTCTTGCTTAAAAACATGACTTATTGCCCTGGCGGGTGTTGCTCAGTGGTTAGAGCGTCAGGTTCAATTCTAGGTCAAGGGTATGTACTTGGGTTGCAGGTTTGAACCCCAGCTTCTTTTGGGGTACCAATCGATGTGTCTCTCTCACACAGATGTTTCTCTCTCACTCTCTCTCCTCCTCCCTCCCTTCCACTCTCTCTAAAAATCAATGGTAAAAATATCCTCGGGTGA